TCCAAGGGAGTCATATATATATTCTTATTTTGTCTAACTTAACTGAAGACTGGGGACATGCTGACATACCATTTACCATGAATAAACATATTTATTCACAAGAATTTTATTCCAGTTTTGCCATTGTGGTTTCAACAATACTTCACTGAGCTTCTACCTAAAACTCCAAAACTTCAAAGATTCAGCCAGTATTAATTTATATTGCCGATTTATTAATGTGAAGACTGGGTTACTTTGAATGTTAAAAAGCTTATTTCAGCTGGGATCCATGCAGTCTCATACTAGATTTATTATTATCTGGGAAATGAAGTGGTTGTACAATTTGTTGCTTCATTTCCACTTCTTGCATTTGCTACAACTGACTTCCCTGGGTTTTTGTTTGATAGCTTTAGTCAGCTGAAAATAACAATACTTTATGTTTGAGCAGCAGCTTCCACTCTAATACCTTTACTTATTTTACAAAGGCACTCAGATACTTTGCCAACATGCAAAGTGCATCTACTGACTGATTTTGTTAGCCACAACCAAAGGGCTTGAGTTTACCACGACACGTGATTTCAGCCAGCTGAATCCACACTGCCTGGGAGGACAAGGTTCAAGTTAAAGCCAGTCCTTACCCTATGCTTGCATTTCCCTGCTCTGCAAGCCGCCTGGTGCATTGTCAAAGAAGGGCTGAAACTGAAACCCGAAGCACAAATTAGCGTGCTGAGCTAATATGACAACAGAGACAGGCTCATCAAGGCCTTAGGTCATTCCTTGTTGATTTTTAGGAAAAAAACCCTGAAGCATGTAGAAATTATTTTGTCAATGTAAAATTGGTGGTAACACCAATGACTGCTGCTCTGTGTTACTCTACAAAACATACCAATGCTTTTGTATATTCCAAGTGTTGGCTGATCCAATCTAAAGTATGCAATGTTTCTAGTAACCTTTATGTTTTAAGTTGCTCTTCCTAGAAACTAATACTACTACTGAAAATTACAGACAGAAGCACTTAACCAGTAACATTTAAATTTGTCCGAGTCCTAGTATTCAACACTGTATACTAAATCTGTTAAATCTATTGTATATGTAAAAGGAAATTCCAGTGCATAGTAATTTCATGTATTGCAGGGTGACACTGTACGATGAACTGTGACTCATTTATTGCTCTCCAGGAATATCTAAAATACATGTTTATTGTAATACAAAGGATAATACCCTTTATATAGTATAGTTTCCTTATTTCACCATCAAAGTTAAAATCAATAAAAGAAATAGATGTCAGGAAAGGAAGGAGAGACGAAAAAAGGCAGAAAGAAAATTTTGGACAAGAACATGTTGCCAAAAAGCTCTTAATATTCTGTTTTTCTAAGCACTGTGTAATAATGTCTGTTGCTCACTGAGAGCTAATAAAACTATCACTGCTGAAGTTAAGCTAAGCTGTACGACTGCTTATTGTCTTTTTTCATTTTGTCTCACTGAATAGCTAATTCTCTCACAGGATTATCCTTGTTTTTCATAGACTCCATTATTAATGAAAGCATTAAATGATGACATACTTTTGGATCACCTCATTTGGGGCCTGACCCCTGTCACATTAAGGCAATGGGAACATTAGTATTCATATGAACAGAAGGCAGAATGAAGTCCTTATCTGGGAGGTTTCACAGAAAGCAGGCCATACTCCAAAAAGAAAGATCAAACAAGCAGATCACTAAAGGCCAAAGGTCAGTTAAGCGGTCAGTTCCCATCTCCAGGCAAAATGGTGAAAGTATTTAAAAACTGCACCACGAAAAATGAGAGAGAGAGGCATTTAAGCTGCCAGGTATAAGAAAATACAGCATGTGTTTCTATCTTTGCAACACAAGCTATCAACATTTTTTTCTTGCTTTTTTAAATCAATTAATAACTTAATTTAGATGCTTACTTTCTTTCTTAAGTTAGATACCAAAGATCAAGATTCCGCAGTACACAGTTCAATCTCAAACCTACATTAATCATGAGCAAGTTTGCATTATATTGTAAGATTATTTTTCTCTACATTATACATCATTATTTGAAGCACATTAAATTAGAAAACACTTTAGCAAAACCATTACTGTGACTGTGTGGAAGTAACACTGCTCTTAATTTTATTTCGTACCTAACTATTTTTTGTGTGTCTAGTACATAAGATTGTTTCTGTACACTTAAAATGACTTTCCAGGAAAAAGCATTAAAAGCCACATCATCTATAAACAAACTTCTTAAATGATATGTTTAGCATAAATTTATATAAATTTCCATTTACAGTATTTGTTCATCTTATAAGAAAATACACTTAAAAATCTCATGAAAGATTTACTAAAATATAATTATTGAATATTTTAAACTGACTTTACCAACATTTAAAATGACAGTGTTCCTCTAAAAAAGTGAAAGAAGGTCTTTGGGAATTCCCCTGACTCTCCTCTGCAAATATCTTTTCAACAGTACAAACTTTTAAATGCTAAAAGACCTGAAGGCCACTTATTTCTCAAACGTGGATGTTTTATGCTTTTCCCTTCATCATTCATTCCATGCTATTGAAACAGGCTGAATGGGGCTTAGTACCAGTGAGTTTGAATTGCTAAACAAGAGGCAAGTCTCATCATGTGTTTTGAATATCTACAAGAACATACAAAGAATTAGAGCTGATTATGTTTTTCTCTATTCTTGATAATGCCCCAGTTGCTTCTGAAAGATATGTCTGATTCCCCACCCTGGGAAGAGTAGATCACGAATAACTGTCCAAGAATTAGAAAATATGTGATAGCCTCACACCATGTCTCTTTTTAGAACACATTAGCACGCTCATGTATTTTACCATTTATTTTAAAAAGCACAGGAATAGTGTTATACAATTATGTTTAGGCTTTTCAGATTTCCAGTCTGGAATATCTAATGAAGGAGAGCTCCAGCCTCCCCTGCTCTCTGTGTGTGTGTGCGTGCGATCCTTCAATTCTTCCTGGGTTCTGGTTTTGCATGTCTAACGAAGCTGAACTGACAAAGCGTGAAAGTGGTCTAAAAGGAAAAACAAAGAAAGTGACCCTGCTTTCACTGTGCCAAGACTAATCAATATTCCAGAAGCTCAGCTTTCCCCTCTCTTCTGATGTGTTTTTTATTTTTTTCAGAGTTGGGCTAACAGTCTCCTCCCCTTTCCTTAAGTTACAGTGATAGTAAATTGCCGTATTCCAGAGCACATGCAATTGTCAGTTTTCTCTGTCTCCCGCTCGCTCAACTCCGCAGCTCTGCTGTATTCGCTGGGAAACCCCTACCTTATCTGCCACCACCGTGTTCCTAGAGTACTGAAGATCTGAAAAGGTGAGCCGATAGTTTCGTTTGGTGGGTTTTGAGTGCGAAGTCTAATTTTTCACTCTCTGCCTTTGTATGTTACTTAATGTAATGATCCTTTTGGCTGTGCCCATGTTGTTTCTTGATCTTAAGTTATAAAGGACGGATTACCTGCATTAATCATCTTGGAAAGAAAAGGCACTGTAAACGAATCTCTTTTTTTTACAAAACACTAAAATTCATTGTTCTGAAAAAAGTCCTGCTTGCACACAGTAGTCGTGTCCAAGCTGGAATACTTACTAATTTGAACATCTAGCTCAGTCTCAGAATGTTTCCACTCTCTAAAGAAGCAAAGCTTATAGCAATCTGTTAAAATTCAGAGAGGGTATTGCACTGAAGTGCCAATCTTGAAACATATGGTAGAAGCAGCGATCAAATCCCATCAAAATAAATCTGTTACAACATGGTATTTCCTCTAAAACATGGTGTTTGAAGTCCCTGTGTATTTATATTCTAAGTGCTTCCTAAAAAAAGGTATTTAGGCACTAGATTTATTAAAAGTAAGATGTTAGAGTTGGCTGTATATAAATGGAGAGAGATTTCAGTGGAAGCAACTAACTCTATCTATTTATTAATTTCTAGTCTCTTCATAAAAAATGCCAGTGTATTAACTAAGACTTCAGAAAATGGAATTCTCAGTCTGGAAAATTGTGCAGGCTCCATTATTAAATAAATACATACCAAGCAGCCACAAAAAAATCATTTTAAAATGAAAATTAATGTCCTAATGAAGGATGTTTAATATTAAAACATTTTAAGGTTGATTCAGTGTGTGATTTCTTAAAATCAGACTATATCCCCATAACTGCTGTCAGGCCAAGCTAAGCATTACTTTGCAATGTGAACTTGTATTACAGTCTGAAGCAACAAGCTAAGTGGGATATAACTTCTGATGTTTTACAGATGTGCTCGGAATAGTTTATACACTTCAAAGATGAATGTTATCAACATAAAACCGTCAAAGTCATATCTTCTAAATAGTGGTTGAGGGATAAATAAACTATTCC